TTGCATGCTCCGTTTACCTGGAAGCCGCCAACTGCATGGCAGGTGTGAGTACGCCACACTCGGTCGGGTTTTAGTTATGTGTGCATCACGCGGAAACCTCATCCGTGACGTCTTAATGTCCCCTTGGGGGACGGGGAAGCGAGGGGTCAGAGTCCTCGCAATTTATGGGCTTCTAATTTAAAACATTTTTGCTTTTAATTAAAGAAACGGCCTCTGTTTTTATGGCGGTTCAGTCCTTCTGTGCTGCCGCCATCCAATTTAATTATTTTGATGTAGGTAATTAGCATTTGTTGGCCATTGTTGGGTTGATTTGCATATTATATTGGATAATTGAATGAGGGTTGATGATTGAATTAAGGGGGCGTGACAGATGATTGGTCTTTGTGCTCACATGGGGGAACTTAAACGACGAGCGGGTTGGGAATAACGCCTCGTGAATATTCATATCTTCCCAGCCCACTTTGTTAATTGGAAAAAAGTCTTTAAACTTGTGACTTCCCTCCAGGACGCAAGCTGCTGTTTTATGCTGCCATTTGGCTGCATGTCAGGGTTTATTATTAAAAACAGCAGCAACACTGGCAGGTGCTCTGGAGAGAGCTGGAAATAATAAGGTGAAGCTATTCAGCTAAGTTGCATTTTGGCTAAAGTTCTTGCTGGTAGGTCATGTGAATTTGAAGTTTATTGAATTCACCTACCACATGTGTGCAGCCACCACAAGCTGACGTGATGAATTGTGACTTGTGGCATCATTTTACATTGCTGTTAGTTGGCTGTTTGCAGGTGGAATTTTGGTAAGCAAAAGTTGAGCGCATGTGTTATTTGCATGTTTTTACCCAGTGTCACATTCAAGATTTGAAATCTTTGGCCATTGTCTAATTGAACCATATTTCCACTTTTTATTTCTAGGTAGTTGATTCATAACATTTTTTTAACATCAATATTAATTGAACGTAACAGTTTTTATGAATGTATATGTAACCTGTGTAACTTGGATCTTGTAATATGTTTAAAGAACATTTATGATCTTCTTCTTTTCCTTCACTATTATTCTGTGCACAAAACAAATCTTGAGGATATCATTTTATTCGTCTTAAAATTATTTTTCATTATTGAAAAAAATTATATTTTTTTCATTTTTTAGGATCAATTAATTCTCAACAAATTACTTATTTTATTCAGCAATGATGCATTAAGTGTCAGTAAAAATTTGTAGATTGTTATAAAAGGTTTATATATCAAATAAATGCTGTTTCTATTCATTAAAGATTTCTGGGGGGAAAAATTATTTTCCACAAAAAATATATATTGATAAGAAATAAAATCTGCATATTAGAATGGTTTCTGAGGGATCATGTGACACTGAAGACTGGAGTAATGATGCTGAAAATTAACTAATATTAATTAAATTACATTTTAATATATTAAACATCTATATTAAAATAGAAAACAGTCATTTTAAATGGTCACAATTTAACTGTTTTACTGTGTTTTTTTTATTCAATAAATGCAGCCTTGGTGAGCATAAGAGATTTTTTTTTTAAAGAACATTTAAAAAAAAAAAAAGTGGTCCCACTTTATATTAAGTGGCCTTAACTACTATGTACTTTTAAATTAATCATTTGGTACAGTGCACTTATGTACATACATGTTTTTACATTGTACTTATATTTAAAAAATACCTGCATGTAATTACATCTGTAATTAATTTCTGTAATTACATTTATAATTACACTGTTGACCCATCTCTTACACCTTAACCCACCCTTAAACCTACCAATACCACCAAACCAGTCCCTAACCGTACCCATATCCCACCTCAATAGCAGCAAAAGTGTTTTGCAATACCATATGAACACAATGTTCACAATGATGTAAGTACATAGTAGTTAAGGCCACTTAATATAAAGTGGGACCAAAAATGTGTGTGTATGTATGTATATGTATGTGTGTGTGTATATGTATATGTATATATATATATATATATATATATATATATATATATATATATATATATATATATATACACACACACACACATACTGTATATATATTAGTCTTTAACGTTGTTTTTATTTTGATGGAAGAAATGGCAATGAAGAGAAAAGTTACTGCCATGGTTGCCTGCTAAATTTCAAAATCAACCACATTGAGTAATTTTCTCTTCCTTGTTATTTTTCCCATCGACTAAATATACAGTATGCCTGCAGCAACACCAACCAATCACAAAAAGCACTTCAGCACAGTTAAACTGAACAAACATCAGCGTAGATCTTGGCACTGCGGCCCCGCCCCTCTCCACTCGGATACTTGCCAGCGTCAGGGGCCCTGGTATATGTCCACGCGGCTCTCGTACAGGATAAATGGAGACTGGAGCGGGAATATTTGACTCTTTCAGACTAATGTAAGCACTGGCAGAAGACAAAGACGGCGCTGACCCAGGTCTGTCTCGCAGCACTGCGCACTGCTTCGGCCCGCCTGTGTTTACATGTGTGCATCTGAGAAATAATGCAGCTCATAAAGGCAGGAAAAAGTACTGGTTGACATTTGTTCTTTCCACATGGAGATTATTCAGACCCTCGGTCACAGAGCCGTTTAGAGCATGAGATATACACCGTCATAGCTGATAGGAAGTGTGTTTGTACTCAAGGGGGGCATAAAGACTTTTGAATGATGGCCAGCAGCAAAGAGAAATTCATTTTTAATATTGTTTTAAGTCAACCTGAATTCAAAATAGTCTCCGTTTACATTTTTAACGTACATTCCTGCTCTTATTGTGAACAATTCATCAGAGCATGTTATTACAAATTAAAAAATGTCTGTCATTTTTCATCAAAGAAATGACTTTCTATTTTGGCTGATGTCACATACAGTACCACTATTGAAAAAGCATGCATTAAATAAGACATT